CGGTTGTTAATATCTTCAGTATAATATAAAATAGATTCAAGACGATGCTGATATGATATGCTATATATACATTTTCTCATGTTGACTGCCATAAGTTGGCGAATACTGAGACTGACAAGTGAAGAAGTCGCAGCCTTGTGTAATAGGTAAAAGTCTTGCAAATTCTGTTAATATTTTTTCGTAATTTAGGATGATTGGACGAGATTTGTTTAGGGAAGTAGCGAAGCTGAGGCAGCAAATGATTTCATCGGTTAGTAGGTCACTAGATCGATCTAGACTATGGCAGAGGTAACCTGGAACTCGCCGCCTACCGTCAGAGCCTTCGTCAGTAGCCGAGAGACGCAGTTCGGCAAGGAAGGGAGCCCCGGAGGAGCGCGAGAGGCAGGAGCCATGGGGAGACAGACAGGTGTTTGATCCCCGGCCATGATCCCGCCGCCCTTTGTCCTTCCCGCCGGATATTTTCAGTCCGCCATCAAAGACCACCTTTCAATTACCGGAACAATGGCCATTATGTCTTGCGTAATTAAGCAAACGTATCTGGCCCGAACGGGAGCCGCGGCCGCGACACTCCTTAATTAAACAAACCTGCGCGAGGCTACACCCAGCGACACGCCACTCAAACGCTTACGGTCATCTCCCGCAAGGTGGAAAATCCCGCGTCATCATCCCAGGGAAGTATGACTAGTGCATTGCTCCTGCGCTGCCCTCCAGCCCCGTCCACGACACTCCAAGTCGCCTCCCAACGGCTTAGAAGGGTTGACCGCGATTATAATTAATTGCCGATATAAATTGAATTCCAGTAGCCAGCCGGCTGCCGCCATATGGCCTGGCCTCCGTTGCGGGGATGCGCTCGGTCCAAGTACATCTCGGACTTTGTGGGTCCTTAAATCCTATCTCTTTAGGGAGGATTCTTATCGTGTGTTCCCTTTCAGCAGTGCATTTTGTTGATACCATCTGAGATCCTTATCCTGATACTATTTTCATCATGCGGAGTAAAAAGCGTAACGAAGAATTCCCCGCGTCGTGTCCACTCTCTTTCATCCTTTCCGAGGCAACAGCTACTGTGCCCCTCTTCCCCTCCCCCTCCCTCTCCCCCTGCCTCCATTCCAGTGTCATGGCAGGTGACGGAGTGCGCCGGGCTAGATTTCTTCTAATTAACACCTGGTTGCACAGGGAGCCAATGAACAGGACCTGCGCGTGTCCTTACATCACGTTGCAAATGGTAGGAATCATGCAGCCGTTTGTTCTGGGGAGACGGAATAGACGCCGGCTGGAATTACCCTTGTCGGCTTTCTCCTCCTCTCTTCATTTACATTTTATTCTTAACTTCCTCATCTCTTATTCTCTTTTCTATTTTTTGTCATTTCTTTTACATCTACGTTTTCCGGGGATAATTCCTTGTGTTATTATCCCTTTCTGCTTTTGGTATTTCTTTTCTTTCTCTGTTTTTTTTTTTTCAAGGACTTATACCTCGTGTGATTACCTGACGGAGGCAACGCCGGGCTGAGTTACACGTCTGAGCAGGTCAAAAGCGCGACGTTATTTACGGTCATATTAATTAGGCTCGAACCTGTAGTTCCATATAGAAGCGCAAGAACCGCCTGAAACATGCAATATTTTCATTCAACATGTAACTTATGCAATATATTAGCATAAACCCACCCTCATTACTCGGACTTAATACAAGAGTGCCGCGTCGCCCCGCCACTGGAATTTCGCCCTTATAGCCAGCCTTACGGTCGGGTTTTGCATCAAGTCATAATAGGTACTAATTACCGAGTCTTAATCTTGGTAAGGAAGTCATATCAAAGACCTGTTCTCCGTGATCTGATTGGGGAGGGAAAGTGAGGGTGGGGCTTAGAGAGGGATGGTAGGGGGGGGGGGGCGGTCGTGCGGGAGGACGAAGAGGGGAGGGGGGTGAAGAGAAATGGGAGGGGTGGAGGGGGTAAAGAAAAAAAAGGGGGGAGGGTCGTGTGGGAGGACGAAGAGGGGAGAGGCGGAGGGGGGGTCGTGCGAGAGGGGACAGGAGGGGGGTTGCGGTAGGACCAAGAGAGGGGGGAGAAGGGGAAGGGGGGGAGGGGGAAGACAAGGTGGAGGAGAGGTAGATAGATGGTTTTTATTCATTATCTCTGATGACGTTGAATCCTATCATTGTTGGCTATAAGTTGGCATTATCATCGTTATCAATAGTGTCTTCATTTTAGCTGTTATCATTAACATTATCTTTGGAGATATTGGTGATAATACCGAGATTGTGGTGGCATTGTTATTCTCTCTTTAGTGATGGAATTATTTTTATTTTTTATATTTACAGATTTTTTTTCGTTTTTTATTATCATTATTATTATTAATATTATTGAAGTTATTATCAATATCAATATTGTTATTACTTTTTGTTTGTTATTGTCATAGTTATTGTTATTTATTGTTATGTGTTATTATTACCATTATTTTAATAATTATTATTGTCATTATTATTATTATTAGTAGTAGTAGTAGTAGTATAATGATAATGATGATAATGAAAATGATAGCAGTAATAATAATAATATTATTATTATTGTTGTTGTTTTTTGTCATTTTTATCGTTACTCTTATAATTACTGTTATTGATTACTATTATCATCACTTGTTATGATGATAGTAATAATAATCATGATAATAATAATAATGGTATCGTTATCATTATTTCTATAATATTGTTATTATTTCGATTTTTATTATCATTATTGTAAGCATCATTATTATTAGCAGTAGTAATAGTAGTATTAGTAGTAATTATCTTTGTTATAACATTAATGTCTCTGTTATTACTGTTATTCTTTTATAATTATCTTCTAGAACTTATCAGTAAGTATAGTAATCATTGCCGTTACTGTTATTGTTACTACCACTTATATTAGTTGTTATTGTTGTTTTTGTTGTTGATGTTAGTGCTACTACTAGCGCCTTACTTTTCCTACTACTGTTGCTGTTGTTGCTACTACTACTACCATTACTACCACTACTACTACCACTGCTGCTACTATTACTACTGCTGCTAATACTACTACCATTACTACCACTACTACTACCACTGCTGGTACTACTACTACCTCAATTGCTACTGCTACTCTACTACTACTACTACAACTACTATTGCTACCATAACTGACATTCTCTTTCTTCTCATTATTGTTATTATCATTATTATCATCCTCATTGCTCTCAGTGCTAGTGGCGAATGTATCTCTCGAGTGAAAATTATTAGGACTCTAAGATTCTAAGAAAAATACATAACGTATCAATATTTAACACCTATTTATCTAAATATATTTAACATCTATCGATCTTTTTTTTTTTTTTTTTTTGGTGCCTGGTTTATCATCTTTTTTTTTTTCCTTCATTTATTCTCTTTTCTGGACGAACGAACCAATATTCTAGCATCAACAGAGTGTACATTCCCATGATACAGAACTATAAGTAAATGTGGAAGTTCGCTCACCTCTACTGATCCTGTTCGCTACGTAACACGGAAGCTTAAAGACAAGGTCACTCCTTCCTTATTATAGATTTTTGCATTTGATTTTTTTTGGGGGGTGAGAGAGAGAGAGAGAGAGAGAGAGAGAGAGAGAGAGAGAGAGAGAGAGGAGAGGAGAGGAGAGGGGGAGGTTGTTTGTAAGATGTTCCTTACTGCTGGAGATCGACGGATATGAAGATGTTTTATGTGTTGAGTTACGTTTTCTTTGAGTTAGTGTTGTGTGGTTTTGATTCTTTTTATGAAGGTTAGTGGTTGGTTTTATAGTTGAGTACAAGGTGATTTGTCTGCTCTTGGGTTTGTAAAGGGAAATTTGTATATGGGTTTTGAGAATGGAGGTGGTGAGGCTTGTAATTTTGTGGCACAGTATGGTTTGTATGTTTTTTGTCGGTATTTCTAATGTTCATGCGATTTTGTTTTCCTGCCTCTGCCTCTCTTTCTCTCTTTAACCTTATCTCTCTCTCTTTCTTCTCTCTCTCTCTTTCTCTCTCTCTCTCTCTCTCTCTCTCTCTCTCTCTCTCTCTCTCTCTCTCTCTCTCTCTCTCTCTCTCTCTCTCTCTCTTGCTCTCTCTCTCTCTCTCTCACTGTTTCTCTCTCTCTCGCTCGCTCGCTAGCTCCCCCTTTCTTCCTTATCTCCCTATCTCGCCTTCTCACTATATATATCTCATTCTCTACTCCCCCTTTTTATCTCAGTTTATGAGAGTCTATTGAATGTGCCAATTCAGAAGTACTTTACAAAGGCGATGGATGATAACAGAAAACGAGTAACGAGACCCACAGAAGGAAGGAAAATATCATCAGGAGAAGATAAATACAAGAAAAAAAAAGATGACGACTATATAAATGATGGTGGACGAAACACACGTATTAACACATAACTGATAATGAACACGTTGCTGCTTCTGGATTTCGGCCACTGATTAGAGCGTGGAACTGCCGTAAGATCGAGGGAAACGAACTTACGAGGAATAATGACCCAGAACCGGTCCATAGGTATTGATAACAGGAGAAATCTCAAAGGCCGTGGAAATGATGACCTCAAGAACCAACAGATGATAGAGCCAGCGAGGAATCCAATAGTCTGATCCCTATATATTTTAAAAGCAAGAAAGAAAGAAAGAAGGAGGTTAAGAACCTATTCGGAGGAGGCACTGGATTAGCATAACCAGATAATGAAGTAAATAGCAGAGAAACCTGTTAATAAAGAAATTATGGAGCGTCCGTCTCACTTAGGTTTCGGAGCTGACGTGCCCTGTGTGAGCATCGTCGAGAAGAACAAAAAAAGAACCAGCAAGATCATGAAGAAAATAATGATAATGAGAGAATGTGAATTGGGTGAATGAGTTCGAACGTAAAAAAAAAGAGAAAGAAAAAGAAAACGTGTTTATGTATTTGTGTACGTGTGTGTGTATGTATGCCGGTGTGTTTGTGGGCTGGGTGTGTGCACATGACTACCTGCCTATGTATGTGCATGCGTGGAGGAGGAGGAGGAGGAGGAGGAGGAGGAGGAGGAGGAGGAGGAGGAGGAGGAGGAGGAGGAGGAGGAGGAGGAGGAGGAGGAGGAGGAGGAGGAGGAGGAGGAGGAGGAGGAGGAGGAGGAGGAGGAGGAGGAGGAGGAGGAGGAGGAGGAGGAGGAGGAGGAGGAGGAGGAGGAGGAGGAGGAGGAGGAGGAGGAGGAGGAGGAGGAGGAGGAGGAGGAGGAGGAGGAGGAGGAGGAGGAGGAGGAGGAGGAGGAGGAGGAGGAGGAGGAGGAGGAGGAGGAGGAGGAGGAGGAGGAGGAGGAGGAGGAGGAGGAGGAGGAGGAGGAGGAGGAGGAGGAGGAGGAGGAGGAGGAGGAGGAGGAGGAGGAGGAGGAGGAGGAGGAGGAGGAGGAGGAGGAGGAGGAGGAGGAGGAGGAGGAGGAGGAGGAGGAGGAGGAGGAGGAGGAGGAGGAGGAGGAGGAGGAGGAGGAGGAGGAGGAGGAGGAGGAGGAGGAGGAGGAGGAGGAGGAGGAGGAGGAGGAGGAGGAGGAGGAGGAGGAGGAGGAGGAGGAGGAGGAGGAGGAGGAGGAGGAGGAGGAGGAGGAGGAGGAGGAGGAGGAGGAGGAGGAGGAGGAGGAGGAGGAGGAGGAGGAGGAGGAGGAGGAGGAGGAGGAGGAGGAGGAGGAGGAGGAGGAGGAGGAGGAGGAGGAGGAGGAGGAGGAGGAGGAGGAGGAGGAGGAGGAGGAGGAGGAGGAGGAGGAGGAGGAGGAGGAGGAGGAGGAGGAGGAGGAGGAGGAGGAGGAGGAGGAGGAGGAGGAGGAGGAGGAGGAGGAGGAGGAGGAGGAGGAGGAGGAGGAGGAGGAGGAGGAGGAGGAGGAGGAGGAGGAGGAGGAGGAGGAGGAGGAGGAGGAGGAGGAGGAGGAGGAGGAGGAGGAGGAGGAGGAGGAGGAGGAGGAGGAGGAGGAGGAGGAGGAGGAGGAGGAGGAGGAGGAGGAGGAGGAGGAGGAGGAGGAGGAGGAGGAGGAGGAGGAGGAGGAGGAGGAGGAGGAGGAGGAGGAGGAGGAGGAGGAGGAGGAGGAGGAGGAGGAGGAGGAGGAGGAGGAGGAGGAGGAGGAGGAGGAGGAGGAGGAGGAGGAGGAGGAGGAGGAGGAGGAGGAGGAGGAGGAGGAGGAGGAGGAGGAGGAGGAGGAGGAGGAGGAGGAGGAGGAGGAGGAGGAGGAGGAGGAGGAGGAGGAGGAGGAGGAGGAGGAGGAGGAGGAGGAGGAGGAGGAGGAGGAGGAGGAGGAGGAGGAGGAGGAGGAGGAGGAGGAGGAGGAGGAGGAGGAGGAGGAGGAGGAGGAGGAGGAGGAGGAGGAGGAGGAGGAGGAGGAGGAGGAGGAGGAGGAGGAGGAGGAGGAGGAGGAGGAGGAGGAGGAGGAGGAGGAGGAGGAGGAGGAGGAGGAGGAGGAGGAGGAGGAGGAGGAGGAGGAGGAGGAGGAGGAGGAGGAGGAGGAGGAGGAGGAGGAGGAGGAGGAGGAGTGCATGGTGTGAGAGAGATAAAGAATGCTATCTTAATAAGTGTGATTATTTGTGTTTATATATTAGAGCAGGGATAATACTGCAACATCAGAAGTATAGGTTGTTCAATAACCCCTTTTGTGCCTGATTGCATTAAGGCTCAAAGTTACCGAAAGAACTCGAAGTCATTGGACAAAAAGTGAACTCTAAAGCCAAAGAAAATTAACTATGAATAATTATATATGAATAATTATAAGGCATTAGATCCTAGTCGAGGATATATGAACCAGAAATACCATGTAGGCAAGGTTGATAATGATACCTGAATCGCTAATTACTATCAGTTAATTATCGCTAATATCGACCTGCCTTATAAAAATGCATTAATGCATATTGTTAAATACATTAACCTTCTACTTTGTTTATATGCATATAGATATTCTCGTATGCTAGCATCACAGTCGCCGTGTATGAAGTGAATTTTTGGCCACAGATAATGCGTGATGGACTGCTGACGTTCAAAATTGCTCGCCCTCTGCTTTGATATTCGGCCGTGTTCACCTGTACGAAAACGATCATGATGTAACACGGCTCGACCGCAAATCATCTTGCGAATACGATCCACCACCTTGCAATTTAATTAAGTCCCTCTCGCCGCAGATGGCTTAAGTGCCTCCTAATGACCCCTGCGACCTAACTAGCGCCGTTATCTGCGAGTGTCCGGCATAATTAGTGCCCAGAAAGCCCTTGCACAGTGCCAGGCTTCTCCCTGAGGCGGTGCCCCTTATCGGCGTGTCCGCAATTTATCCTCGCCTTTGTTTGCGTTAGATACTGTCAGTGTTACCAAGACCGGCGGAGTTCTCTTCAAGGCGATGCAGATGGATGCGTGGCCGAGAAGAGATATGGGGGGGGGGGGGAAGAGGTGAAAAGAGGGGAGGGAGAAGGCGGTAGAGAGGATGGAAGAGGAGGAGGAGGAGGAGGAGGAGGAGGAAGAGGAGATGGTGGAGGGGGAGGAGGAGGAGAGGTGTTAGATGGCGGAGGGGGAGGAGGAGGAGGAGGAGAGGTGTTAGATGGCGGAGGGGGAGGAGGAGGAGAGGGGTTAGATGGCGGAGGGGGAGGAGGGAGGTGGCGGTGGTGGTGGAGGTGGTGGAAAATGGAGGAGGAGGAAATGTGCAATGTGGGTGTCACAGGGTTGGGCATCGTCTGAGTTAATGGAGAGCTGTCTGAGTCTGCTTTATATGTGTGCGCGTTTGTCTGTCTGAACGATCACACCCGAGCTTAAGTGTATTTTAATATCTGATTAAACACATGTTTGTCGATTTGGCCACCATGTTTATTATTGGATGAAGATTTAGGTTAACGTGGTTTACTTGAGTCAATGGTATGAGCAGGGCTAGTGTTAGTCACCGAAAAAAAATACCTCTATATAGTTTGTTTGTTTTTTCTTTCTCTTTTTTTTCGCACCAATTCCCAAGTTTGAGTCAGAAAAGGTGAGATAGGATAGGATAGGATTTGATAGGAGAGATGTTTGAGTTCGGGACTCATAGACACGTATCTTGCAATTCCTAGTTAATGATAAGGGTGCACGGGTCAGTTATTGTGAGTTTATTAGAAGTAGATCAATATTTATGCACTTGCGATAGAGAAACAAACATAATTTTGTTTGTAGATCAGCTTGTTGTTACATAAGTAAATGTACATATCTATTGAATACAATCTGTTGTTTGTATTGAAAACTTTTAATGAATGAGTAAGAATTTCTGTTCGGATTGCCTCTTGTGACATTTTTTAAATTGTATATAGTGTCAATCTGTTATTATTAGATATAAGATGTGCTATACGTGTCATATATCATAATACCTATACAGCGATATTGTGAATATTTATCCGCATTCAGTGTAGGTGGAAAACTGAACACTGAATTATAAATTCTGCTGTTCTCGACCCGAAAAACATACCAGTTTATCATGATAGACTGAACAGTCGAACAGGTAGCTTGTTCATCATATTACAGTGCGGCGGCTGCCACTGTTTATTGGCAGTCATCCACACGGGATATGTCAGTCAGGCTGCTCATCCATCATCACACTTTGTCTCTTCGTTGAGCCTTTGAAGTCCGAACAAAGTAGCCGTGATCTCGAAAATTTTCACTTCAAACGAACGATCCAAAAGGTAGCGTTCGGATGTTTTATAATCAAAGGGTTTTTCGTTTGGGCACACAGACACACACATACACACACACACACACACACTCATACACATACACATACACACGCACACACACGCACACACACACACACACACACACACACACACACACACACACACACACACACACACACACACACACACACACACACACACACACACTGTGACCGTTTAAATATTTAATTTCCTTTCACAATTCATTCCCTTTTCTTTGATCTTTCTTCTACATATATTGCTTCTCCTCTGTGTTCATTTCTCTCTATCCCTCCTCCCCTCTTTATCTTCCTTTACCTCAATCCCCTCCCCGATCCTTTTTCTTCATTTCTGTAAGGCGATCTTCACAATGTCGCGGTCTCAGCGAAAGAAGTCTTTTATCCTCCCCCTTCTCCTATCCCCTCCCCCTCCCTCTCTTCTTCCTCTACCTTCTTCTTCCTCTTCTTAATCTTCTTCGTCCTTTTCTTCTTGATCTACCTCTTCTTCTTCCTCTACCTCTTCTTCTTCCTCTGCCTCTTCTTCTTCCTTTTCTTCTTCCTCTGCCTCTTCTTCTTCCTTTTCTTCTTCTTCCTCTTCTTCTTCCTCCTCCTCCTCCTCCTCCTCCTCCTCCTCCTCCTCCGCCTCCCCCCTCCCCCCTCCCTCCCTCCCTCCCTCCCTCCCTCCTCCTCTTCCTCCTCCCCCCCTCCTCCCCCCTCCCTCCTCCCTCTAGTGTCCAGCGCCTCGTTCATGAAAGACCCAATTAATACTGCAGCGCCGAGGGAGACGTAGAAATAATTAATCCGACAATGATGAATGGACCGCCTTCTTAATGAGTCACAGCCGCGCCGTGGACAATGGTAACATACATCATCGCAATATCTCGAACCATCCATTAGTACAGCTGCGGCGGTACATGTATTATGTATGCTGTAATTCGCATTTGAGATTGGAATGCGTCGCTTACAAAATGCATCGGGAGAGAAAAAGAGAGAGAGAGAGAGAGAGAGAGGGGGGGGGGGGGGGGGGGGAGAGAGAGAGAGAGAGAGAGAGAGAGGGAGAGAGGAAGTGAGAGAGAGAGAGAGAGACAGAGACAGAGACAGAGAGAGAGAGAGAGAGAGAGAGAGAGAGAGAGAGAGAGAGAGAGAGAGAGAGAGAGAGAGAGAGAGAGAGAGAGAGAGAGAGGAGAGAGAGGGAGGGAGAGGGAGAGAGAGAGAGAGAGAGAGAGAGGGAGAGAGAGAGAGAGAGAGGCGACAGAGGACAGCGACCAAGGCTTCTGTACGGGGGCGGGAGGAATAGTGTGCTGGTAACTCGTTCTAACTCATATAGAAATTCATGGGATCTAATAGTCTCACTGATTGCAACTCTTATTTTGACTCATTTAAACAAATATTGTAACTCATGCGAACTAATATTCTAACTCATCTTCCTACTCATGGGAACTCATACTATACCACATATTCTATCTCATCTGAAGTAATATAATCTCGTTTGAACTAATATTCTAACTCATTATACCTCATATTCTCACTCATTTGAACTCACTAAAATCCATGTTGTAATTTCATGTTAACTTATATAGTTACTCATTTTAATTTTCCGTAACTCATGTCACTTTTCATAATCCGCTAAGGTCACATAAACCAAGGCCACATTAAAAAAAGAAAAGAAAAAAACAATATAAAGAAAACAAATAAATACATGAAAACTTAAACGTAAAAACAGACAAACCAGACGTCAGAATAACCTACATACCCCCACAACAACAACAACAACTACAACATGAACTCGAGCTCCAAGCGAGGTGCTAATTTCAAGATAACATCATATTGGTTTAAGTCCGAAGTCGGGAAGTTATAGGGTGGACAGCCCAAGGTTCTTTATGGGCGCCAGCCATCTCGGGACCACAAGAAAGGGGTGGAGGGTGAGATATGGGGGGGGGCAAGGGGTATGGTGCTCATAGGAAGGGCGTAGGGGGAGGAAGAGGGAGGGGGTTGGGCGTGATGGGGGTATGGTGCTCATGGGAAGGGTATAGGGGGAGGGAGAGGGAGGGGGTGGGGGTTGGGCGTGATACCATCGTTTGTGTTAGGGGTATGGTGCTCATGGGAGGGGGTGGAGGGTGAGATATGGTGGGGGGTTGTGTTGGGGGTATGGTGCTCATGGGAAGGGTAGAGGGGGAGGGAGAGGGAAGGGGGGTTGGGCGTGGTTTGTGTTAGGGGTATGGTGCTTATGGGAGGGGGTGTAGGGGGAGGGAGAGGGAGGGGGGTTGGGCGTGATGTCATGGTTTGTGTTAGGGGTATGGTACTTGTGGGAGGGGGTATGGGCGTGATGTCATGGTTTGGTTGGCAATATGGTGCTCATGGGAAGGGTAGAGGGGGAGGGGTGGGTAGGGGGGGTAATGTCATGGGAAGGGTGAGGGAGAGGGGGAGGGACAGGGAGGGGGAGGGGCGTGATGTTATTTCTTAGTTAGCGGCATGAGGCTCCTGGGAAGAATGAAGGGAGAGGGAGGGGGAGG